CCAGACACGAAACAGACCCCACGCTCCCAAGTTTACATCTGCCGAGAATAAGGCTCCTTATAATAGCACGAGGAATGTACCCAGTCACCTGCTATTTTTAATATCCTGGAACTACTATTTTTTTTAATTTTTTTTTTTTTTATTTTTTTTCCCCTTTTCCCTCCCTAGGACATTTTCTTGATCCGAAGGCACTGACCCCCAAATAAACAAACAAGGGGATCCCGCTGTGGGGCAGAGCGGCTCCGTGCCCCCCCCCCCGGTCCCGCGGCGCCTCCTCCGCGCTTGTGACCGTCACCACGTGTGCAGGGACACAAAGGAGGGCTTGTTCTCCCGGCACTTCCCCGGAAAGCTCCGTTCCCGGCTGGCGCTTGAGCCGAGGTGACCAACATCCCGCCGAAAAAGCGCCACGGGGCCACAAGGAGCGGCGGCCACAGGGACCGCGCGCACGGAGGAGTGCAGGGAAAGGAGCAGGTGGAGCGCAAGGCGGGAGCAGGATGCAAGGAGAAGGCTCCAGCTTCGTGCACCGTCATCTCCGGCACCTGCCGTTTTGGGGGGAAATCAGCCTAAACGGAACCCGGCTGAACCGCACGTGCAGTTCAGGGCAACCAGAGCAAGCCCAGGTCTGAAGGCACAGCCAAGACTGGCGTCTTCCCAAGGAAAAAAAGAGCTTGCCATGAGACCCACGAGTTAAAACTGTAAAAAGAGTTCATGCTATATAACCAAAATAAATGGAACTCAAAAAAAAAAAAAAAAAAAAAAAAAAAAAAAAAAAAAAAAAAAACCACCAAAAACCCTTTTCTTGTGTTGTTTTCTACAAATCTATTAGCCTGGGATCAAGACCAAAAGTTGTTTACTGGGAAAAAAAAATAAAAAAGTGAAGTGAGATTTATAAAAATACGCGGGCAGCTTAATTCTAATCCCAGTCATGTATATTCACACTGAACACCTCAGACAGTCTGATCAGCTTTAAGGTCTTTGATGCCTTTAATTAAGGAACCAAAAAAACCCGACTGTCCTCCTCAAAACACCAACACGTTACAAAGTCAACAAATTTTTACAGAGTTTTTTGCTGTTTAAAACTGTCCATGACCTTAAACTTCAAGCAACTAAAATGCATATCAGAATGGAAACTGAAAAGTGGAGACTACGATCAGGATTTCCAGCAATCTTAACGCACACACTGCCGTAACACACTTGTCCTTGAGTGGTTTCAAAGTGGAGCGAGGACTGTTCTTCACTCCCCTTTCCCACAGAAAGCCCATTTTTGGTCACCAAAATGGTCCCTATGATAAAAGGGCTACACCAGATGGGCTGAAAGCTGCAGAGCACAGAGAAGGTTTAAGAGACATCCTGGAAGTCAGGGAAAGGATGAGAAAAGCATAGGAGCCACAGAAATCCTACATGGATATATCTACATAGACCCACCTTGATGTAGCTGCATAAAACTCAGCATCCATATGTGGTTTTAGCCACTGTTCTCCAATTTTGGGGACTTCTGGAGCCACTCTGTGCCCATCCTTCTCTCCTGCTCTCCCACCTCCCCGTTCTCCAGCACCGGGAATAACAAAATCCAAGCCCAGTCTGCTAAATGACTTCTGCTTCCTGTCCTCATTCACCCCAGGATCCCAATTACACGTTAGCTCATGCTAACGAGGGACACACACACATACTTAGTACATGACAAGGCTCTGGGAATGCACGGCCGGGTGAATTTCACCCCAGTTTGGTAATTTGGTAGCCGCAACGTAAGCAAGGTGGACCAGAGCTAGGTCAGCTTGAGGACATTAATTTATCCATCTGACACTACAAGGATACTAAGGAGAAAGGGCTCGGACAGGGCAGAACTCGTCTACCACAGCCTTTGGGTTAATAATAAAGCATTGGTGAGGGGGGGAAAAAAAAAATACAGGCTTAAATTGCCAAGCTGGAAAAAAAAAAAAAAAAAAAAAAAAAAAAAAAAAGAGAGAGAGAAAAGGAGCTATCAGCTCCTTCAGTTCAATTCCTTTTCTGCTACAATCTTGGAAACCAGAGACCCAAATTTCACAGTATTGTTCCATGTAATAATCGTGCACAGGTCATGTCCCTGCGCTTTTGTCCGGCAAACTGGCCTCGCTGTCCTTTGTCACTTTTGTACTCCAGCTTAAAAACACTCTAAAGCCAAAAATAGAGAGAAAGGCTCTCCAGTTCGAATCCCAGGATTTTTTTTTTCCCCCTTTCTTTTTCCCTTCCAGTCAGACGGCACTTTTTGGCAAATTACCTCTGGAGGAACACGGAGGAGCCGCGTGAGACACCCATGTGCCTTTCCCCTCCGTCCAAATCAGATTAGCTTGGAGGGACTGCGAGGGCTCCTCTGTGTTATGCCAAGACCGGGATGAAAAGAGCAGCATTTGCAAAAGTTTACTATTGTCTGCCTGTCTGCAGCCTTTTTTTTTTTTCCCCCCTTATTTTCTCTCTCTGTCAGAGCTGTTTTCTGAAGCAAAAGTGCCATCCTTTCCTCATTTAACAGGTCACAGAGTAAATGAGGAACTCTGACAGAAATCCTGAACAAACACCATGTATGTTTATGCACCTAAACAAACACGGCGATTCGCCCCAGGGGAGGATCGCAACCGTTTGGCTGGGAGAACAGCTGCTGCTTCTTCCTTTTATTAAAAAATAATAATAACGGGGAGGACATTTGACATGAACAAGCTGTAGGCTGGAGGCATGGACAAGCAGGAAGCTCAAGAGCAAAGCAAAGGAGTTCTTCCAAATCCCGCTCATGGAGCAAGATGCTTTCCATCATCATCCTTTCCGAAGATGCTCATTAACGGACCAATTTTTGAGGCAAGTCGTGTGGGTTTCCACACATTTACAGTCCCGAGGGGGAATCTTAGCACGGTGATTAAATGCCTCTTAATTTCTGACAAAAATTGGTTATGCCACCAAAAGGCCTCCCATTCTCGCTGCATTGCACTTGGGCTGTTGTGCACAGACTGGGGAATTGCACAAAAGAAATAGCAAAAAAGGCAAAAAGCACAAAAAGCAAGGTAAATCAGTGCTTCTTTCTCCTTGTTTCAAGGAAAAACCTTCGACCTTGGAAGTAGGAAGAGGGAATGGGCAAAAAACATTTGACTAATCCCCCTCTAGGTATCACATGTGCCCACATACATACATTACAGATGACATTATCACTGTGCACTGGTCGTGATTCTTCAGGCTTTGGGAGACTGGGAGATTGGACGCTTACATGGATATCTGGAGCTGCACCTACTAATTAAAGTGTTAAGAAAAAGCACTAATTCTAAAGACTTAATGCTTATAAAAAAAATAGAAAAGTCTGCTAATTAGAGACAGACACAAGACATAAGGTAATGGGCAGATTAGCTCTCCTTAGCCTTAAGTGAATACTGTGCACTTCTCAAAGCCCTCGGTACCAGCCTTTGCCAGAGCGGGTCTGGACTGCACCTAAGCTCCAGTATGCTCCAGATTCCCTCCAAGCGGGGTGAAACTTCCAGCTAGTTACTGGGCTTAACCCAGGCTTAAAGCCCGGGGCCTGTGGCAGATCGGAGGTGAGACCGAGCGTCCTTGCAGCCTCTGCAAGACCAGCAATGTTCATCGCTCCAGGCACTTCCAGGCACACATTCCCACAGCGCTTAAAGGTCCTCACCACCACGAACACCCACAACCTCAGCACAACCTCAATGCCAACGAAGTGACTGCCAGCCTACACCCCCTTCTGCTATTTTAGCCCAATTTTTTCCCCCTCCTCGTGAGCAACAGTACAAATACGCCCCAAAACAATATTCAGGTTTAACTACCGGTCTCAAAACCACAGTCACGATTCCACATCCAGCTTCCCAAAGGACCAAAACACCTGGGCAGTGTTCAGAGCTACAGGTGAGCTGGGAGTTGACAGCATAGTTCACACCACAACTACGCTAAGGGCAACCCACGTAAAATTCATAAACTGAAGGAAAAAAAGGCAAAAAAAAAGGCAAAAAAATCAATGATCCTCACTATTCTTCCCCGACACATTACTGCTATTCCATACTGCATCCTTGTGAACAGCTGGGATCAGCCATATGGTTTTGTTATTGCACCTCAGCATGAAGCATCTACAGCAGTAGCAAGAAATGCCTATGGAGCGTCAAAGCTGTTAAGTCTAAGTGGTTTCTCTCGCTTCTCCATGGGACATTTAAATGCTTTTTTACAGCACTGCTGATTATTCAATGAGAAAAGAATAGATACTATCAAGATACTTTAAAAGAATCGTGTTTCATCAGGACCAAACACATCATAAGTTTGATCATAAATCCAAATCACGTAATAAATAACAGTTTAACTGTTATTTCAGTGATTGCATAAGGTATATAAAAAGACATCATGACTTTTATATAACTTTAAATAACTGGAGCAAAAGCTTTCTGAGTAAATCCTACAGAAGTTACAGCTGCAATTTCCAACTATGACATTGACACTATGACAACTATAGACGCTATGACAACTATAACATTGACACTATGACACAGCAAATGACATTTACTGAATCTTTACAAACTTAGGAAGAGCCAAGGACTTTTTTTCTCAAGCCATTTGTTGTTCCTTCTTGTTGCAATGCCACATAAGAACTTTTCCTGCCCGTTACGACACGGCAATCCTTCACTAAAGCCTGCCGGCGGCTTACCACAGCCCACAAATTCACACAAAACTCCTTTCTCCGCAAACACAGCACCCTCAAGTCTTCAAACCACTCGCAGCCCTGCGTGTCCTTCCACTCCGAAGGCAACAAATTCGAACAGATCAGCCAGCCCTGACTGCTCAGAACTCCTTCCATGCTCCATTACTCAATTCCATTAACTAAATGGCTAGGAAAATACCCTCCTCCTCCGTGACCTGCCCCGGCAGTAGGTGCTGACACCACACGAAAATTTGCAGCTCGTCCCCGTGAAGAGCTTTGGTAGCTCAGAGCAGGGCCGGCCAGTCCCCGACGGCTCCGCGGGTAACTCGGCATCACTTACACAGCAGGCTCCTCCTCAGGAAGTTTTCATTTCGCTCTCAGCATCTATTATTTAGGCGTACAGGGCTCTGCAGAAACTGAGACTTCCAGGAGCCCGAGAAAACTGTGCAGAGTGGGGAAAAAAGGTAAATAGATACTGAGGAAAAGCAGCCCCAACGAGCTCATCTCACGCAAAACCCATTCGCGGGATGAAAAATACACCAGTCCTGCCAATGGAAACAGTATTTAAAGCTTGCTAGAGTATTTAGAGTGACGCCCATGAAAGAGAAGGCGCAAGCTCAGTTTTCGAGCTGAAGGCTTGGTTTTAGTCTCAGTCCCACCAATGGCAATGCTTGGGAAACAGCAAAACCCAAAGCAAAGCGGGTGCTCATAGCAAAAAAATGCATTTGATGGCAGCACCATCCTGGACCCTACACAATCACCCGCTTTGCCCACAGCTCCAGCAACGGGAACGGGCAGAAAAAACGCTGCTGTGACCCAGAATAAATGAAACAGAAGCAGCTAGAAATAGAAATAGGAGGACACCAAGCCCGACTAAAAAGTTAAGGTGCAGCCTTACTTACTTATAGGAGCTTACTACAAGCTCCACACCAAGTCGCTGAGAAGCCCTGACACGGGCATCCCCCTTTTACTAAAAGGGGGAATTTGGGGGGGAAAAGTGGGGAGGATGGTGGCCCAATCCTGCACCTTTCCCTCTGGGAATCCGCCTTTGAGAAACAGCAGTCTCAAGGACTTGAAACTCCACCTCCATGGAAAGGTCGGGGTTTTCCTTTGTGTGTCCCGGGTGCCTGCTAAATTAGCTGAACCTTCCCAAAACGCAGGTAATACGAGACGGGTGAGAGGAGGCTGGCGGGGACCTTCCCAGTGCGGCTTTCCATGGAGCCCTTCCCGCCAGGAGGTGTGAAATGGAAGAGTAGGACAAACCTGATACTTTTAATTAGCAAATTGTCCTGGTCATCTTTCTTGCCTAGCCAAGATTCAAGGCTGTCAGCTAATCCACAGGCTGCCAAACGGGCTATGCTATTAATTAAATGTCTGAGAGCTCTCCTTTTTTTTTTTTTCCTTAAAAAAGAAAAAAAAGGGAAAAATAAAAATAATAAAAATAATAAAAATAATAAAAATAATAAAAATAATAAAAATAATAAAAATAATAAAAATAATAAAAATAATAAAGTACAAGCACATTACGGCAAGCCTTAACACCACTATAAGAAAATTAACCAAAAACTCTATCTCTTGTAAGACCCAGGGCCGCAGAAGCCACAGGAAAGTCAGTGTCCTTATTAAGGCTTACTACGCCCGAAGCCTTTTTCACACGTAGCTGTGCACAGAGCCACAACCACCGGGAACAGACAGTTCCCAGGAACTTTGCAGCCATCTGAGCTACTCCCGCAGACCCAAAAAAGTAGCGAATAAAGTAATTCGCAAGCTGCATCCCCCGAAATAGAAAAAAAGAGGAAACAAATAAAAACGGAGGAACATAAATAAAAATGGAGAAAATAAATGAAAAGCGAGGAAATACATGAAAAGGGAGGTAATAAATAGACCGGGCGGGCACGGGGACGTCTCCCCGACGGCGGGTTGAGGCGGCAGGAGGGAGCCCGGAGCGCGGCCCCGCGCGCGCGCCCCGTCCCAC